AGAGAGAGAGAGAGAGAGAGAGAGAGAGAGAGAGAGAGAGAGAGAGAGAGAGAGAGAGAGAGAGAAGAAATGGGCTGAGGAGTGGAGCACAGGGTTAAAGTTTCAAACATAAAAACAATCCAAAAACGGACAAGGTGGGGAAGACCCCCGGGGGGATGGGGAAACGGAGACACACACAGAGAGAGAAAGAGAAAGAGAGAGAGAGAGAGAGAGAGAGAGAGAGAGAGAGAGAGAGCAGATGGGCTAAGTACTGGACACAGTGGCTCATGATGAGGAAGGAAGAAAATTCTCCATTTCTGATGGATGAAATGTTCTTTACCATTTCTTCTCTCTTCTTGTCAGAAAACGTTTTACTTGAGAGATGAGTCCTCTCTCTCTCTCTCTCTCTCTCTCTCTCTCTCTCTCTCTCACGTGCGGTTGATCATTGATTTGCCGAGTGGGTTAGAACTCCGAAAAAAAAATGAAACTTTAATTGACGGTTGGAAGAGGAGAATCTGAAGAGGAGGCAGAACTACATACACCCCTGGGATAGAGGGAAAATTTCACTAATAACCCCACCGTTAGCCCCGACCGTTGAAAGAGGGAAAATCCACTAATAACCCGACCGTTAATTATAAGTCGTTTTCTCTCGTTTGACTTCATTACCCGACTACACTGTTATGCATTATTAATAAAATCATTATTACTACGAATTATTATATTACTTATAATCATTATTACCAAAATTGATCACGTTATTAATACAGTAATATAGAAAATTAATAATCGTACGGACTAATCAGCAACAGAGAGAAACTGGAAACTGATGTTTGTTTTCGGGAGAAAGAAAAAAAATAAATTGATCCGTGTTTCACAAAAAAAGGGGAAAAAAAAACCTAGAATCTGAAAACACAGCGAGGAGGGCAAATATATAACGAAAGCGAAACATGGAGGCGAGGCAAAAAACTGTAATTTCAATCACTTCAATATTTACTTTTCTTTTTTCTCATTTGTGCATTGATATCTTTCCTTCCTTGCGTGTCATCAAGAAAATAAATAAGGCAGGGAAAATCACATCGCCAACGAGTCTCTCATGAAACACGACTCTTTAGGGCGACAGGACATCATATCAAGCAATGCAGCCCACACCCTTCAATCTCTCTCTCTCTCTCTCTCTCTCCCTCCCCCCCCCCCGGATGGAGTGCGCAAGTGCTTACAGCACCGCATTGCATCGTTCCCCCGAGAAAAAGTTTTCTTTCTGTCAATCAGATTCAGGATAAGATCCGACATAGCCAGATTACTCGGTAGCAAAGGTGGACTCCGAACAGCCAAGCACGAAAATAAAATTAATTCCGTAAATAGATTTCATCAAAACAAAAACATAATAAACATATCTCAATTGGCCACTTCCCCTCCCCCACCCCCCCCCGCCCCCGCCCCACGCCTTCTTTCCAAATCA